ATTTTTCATGTATTTTTAAAAACCATATCCGCTACAATATTTAACCATGATCCTAGCAACATATTTGACAGGAGTTGTCCTTGTGGAATAAAAAAATTTGTAAAGAATTATTAAAGAATGAATTATTTAGAGGAATGTGAACTTGTTCTGTTGCTGATTCACCCTAAGCCTAATCCTAATGTAGAGAACTGACTTAAAATAGGAATATTCCAATTGCATATTTTTCGATAACATACATTTTATTGTGATAATACAATATCTGAATATTTGTGCACAACATAATACATTTCACATTCGTAAATGTGCACAAAACTGGTGTTGTGGGTACAAATCTTCATTTGTCAGTCTCATCCTGTGGACACATGTCCTCTCTTACAGAGATCATTTTTGCGCTGTTTACTTAACTGAGTTCAGTGCAGGTTATGGGTTGGAGATACTTGGCCTCAGTTGATGACTTCCTGCATCTGGTTTATTTTGGCAACTGGGCAATAGTAAGTTACTAAATGTCAGTTCATTGCTTAAAAAATCTGCAACCCCGTTAAGCAGGAAAAATTCAGTTTTTTAGCCGATCACATTAGTCTGACAGCTGCGATTAGTTACGTTTCAGCATGTTAAGACTTTCAAACTCATGACAGTCATGATATCATGAAAAATATAAAATGAGTAAAATTAGCTCAGAAATGCAGCAACAGTATTCATGTGCTGCTGCCATAATAATGCTTCAGTAATAGCAATCCAATATTATAACAAATAGAGAAAGCACTGGACGAGAAATTGTTTCTCATTCCACAGCTCACAAGCGAGTTAAAGATCAACTCAACTACACAAGACGTATTGACAGGCGGCCTGGCAAGCATCTCTCGGCTTCATCAATGAGTTTTCATTGAATGGGCAAAGGTCAAAGGTCACTGACCGACTGCAAGAACTGCAATTGGCTGATAAATGTAGATTTTTTTTCATACCCGTGTGAAAGCAGTGCAACGAAAGTTTTGTATATCTCAGCCTTTGTAGCCACAGAATGAGACAAATGCACAAATGAAGATCCACAGATGTTCAACTGAAGTACATGTACGTGTATGTTCAAGATGATGCAAACACAGTGTTTCAGTCAGATTGGTTTATTTTTAACAAACATTCAGACACGGTAGATTTTCAAAATAAAACATTTACTAATTTGATCATTCTTATTAAATATTTACAAATCAAGTTTAGGGATGCAAAGATTACACAGGTGCTGCTAACAGATTGGTGAATGTGCTTTTAAACTCAGGTCATTTCAGGAAATGGAGCTGAAACCCGATCATCCGTACCAAGCAGAGGCAGAGTATGCCTTTGATAAAACATTTGACTTACGGCACACTAGAGAATGAAGCATATCAGTAGGGATTCATAGGTGGGTATGCACAATGTTGACTGAATAATAAGTAGGTGATACCTGTGTATGTTCTGCACCACACCACTCATGACACAGTCACAGAAACAGCATGATCACATCCAGGAACATCCGCAACATTGTACATGCCATTGAATACAATTCAAAGTGGTTAATTGTTTTAAGACACACAAAATATGCATCAAGGCAAAATTTAGTGGTTGTTGAAGCACATATCTTCAGAATTTACATCTTACACCACAAAACGTCCATCATCTGTGGGATAGCAGCACTGAAAACACTGAACTCCACGCTTCTGTCTGTTGTTCATCTGTGGGAAAGAGGAGTGTCAAGAGTGCAGTGTTCATCTCCAGTATCATCACCCACTCTGTTCATTCTCTCTGCTTATGTCAAGTGCATCAGGGCACTTTGGAGAAAACACATATTTGAATCTGCTCAGTCATTCATTCAGTTAACTTCACAAACCTCCAGTGGTCCCGCTACTCTATGTGCAGCAGGTGGATTGTCAAAGCCCACTGGTTCCTCCAGCACTTGCTCCTGTCAATGAATTGGTCAGTTGCAGTAAGAACCACAGTTTAGCATGTTGACATAGCTAATAGGAGTTTAGGTCAATACTTACTTCATTGAGTGGGACTGCAGAACTCTTGTGGATACAGATAAATGTGAGCACGACGGCTACTGCAACTGCAACACTGAATGTCTTCATCTTCACAAGGTTGTGGGTTTTTTTTAATTAGAGGGTTTACTCCGATGTTTTGGTGTCTCTTGTAAGCTCTTCCTTTCTGATGGTTGACTGTGCATCTTTGCTGGTATTTATATTCACTTTTGCTGCAGTTGCCTCATCACTGGCAGCATGTATTTCCAAGAACAAACTTGGCATCTCACCGTGTGATGATGGGAAAATAAGTGGGAAATGCCAAAAGGAGGGTGAATTTGGAATTTTGTGCTTGTGTTTCAGTCCAGTGTCTGTTCAATCATTAATTTTCACTTTTATCCTGGTCTAGAGGAAAACATGCATCAACTAGAATAGTCTTATATTTAATCTGTACTGTTTATCTGTAAAGGATCTTTGTCATGTATCAAGAAGCACATGTTTAACATATGAAATGAAAGTTTTTGCAAAAACATAAATTAAGTGATTGATAAGTTTTCACCCCTATTGTTTGCCATTATTCAATACCCCCAAATTATTTTAAGCCTGAATACACAGTTTGAAAAAGTTACTGTAATATGTACTGTATGCATATTGTGATGTCAATAACGTTTTGAGAAGATATACACTTTATCTATCAAGAATAAATCGTATTGTCACAAT